TAAACCTTGTTATTTTTTTTTTTAGTTAGTTAATTAGAGAAATATTTGAAAAAATACTGCCATCGATTGTTTAGTATCCGATTAATCAATGCTAGTGTTTCCGTCGTATGTCAGTACCTTTCGATTATATAATAACGTTAATATTGATCAAATATATTTTTAGGGTATCGAGCACTATCATATTTGTTCTACTTTAAAGATTTAAGGACATACAATATATCCACAAAGATAACTGTCATCGATTATTTGTTAGCCAAAGCTTAAGCAAGTTATCGATAAATCGATGCAGGTTTCTCGTTCCGATGCCCCTGTCCAGCTTTGTAAGCGCACCATAACGACTTGAAACGCGTTTCAACATTTAAAGCTAACCAGAGCCTAACTTATTTAATGTACATAATATATAGATATATATGCATGTGCACGTGCTTATGTTTGTCGCTGCAATATCCTCTGCAAAAAATAACTTATCCCATCTCACAGTTTGTCACGTAGCCCTTGAGCGATGCTTTCAAAGCGGATGCTTTCAATGGATTTGCAATAATGCACAAAAATGTTGCTCAAGTCATTTTTGCATTGATATATTTGCAGACATATTTTAGGAGACGAATTCAAGTTATGAAATGTTGTAGAAACATTTTTGACAACGAGACAAATTTCAATTGCATTTGACTCCAACAAATTGCAACGAAATGAATCAGTCAAATGCCAAGTGCAGCTGAGAGGACTCAGGAATGCGCGGAAACTTGCGCCGCCAGAATGAACAGCAGCCAGCAAAAAGATACAGATACAAATGAAAGCAAATGTGTTTGTGTGGGTGTATCTGTGTTTGTGTGGCTAGGAGGTTTTGTGTGAAGAGGGGGACAGCTAATTGCAGTCTGTGTAACTGTTGTCTGTAGTCTGCCGCTGCGCGCCAGCGATATCTTTTAATTTGCCACAAAACGCACAAAATGTGCAAGCCATGTTGTTGTGTGTGTGTGTGTGAGTGGGTGTGGATGTGGGCAGTCAACAGCCAAGCAGCTATAGCCCCGGCCAAGCCTGGGAATCCTCTCACTTTTATTCCCATGCACATTGCCATTGTCTGCCTGTGTGTGTGTGTGTATGTGTGTGTTTGTGTGAGTTTGCTTGCTTGTGTGTGTGCAGCGATGATGAAGATGATGCGACTTGGGAGCAACAGAGACTCAAGCTGCCGTTGGCCCAGCCCCTGCTGTATGCCCCGCCACAACCAGGCTGCCCGGCTGGCTGGATATGACACAGATTACGTAATGCGAAATTAACATTTTAACACAATTCAAGAGACGACGGTTGCAACTGCGGCAAAAGAAAGAAATTGCAGCGAAGAGACAACAACAGCAGCAGCAGCAGCACCAGACAAAGAGGGAAAGAGTCAGTGAGAGAGAAAGAGAGAGAAAACGATACATCAAATGAGCCCGTTGCCGCCTCTTTTTGGGCATTTGGCCATGTCTGGCTGATCATCAGTCTTTGTTGTGGCGTGGTCAGCAGACACCTAGGATCACACTCACACACAGACTGACCAATACACATACACACGCGCACACCCAGACAAACTGTGCAGCCGGTTGCGCCTCTTGCAGCCAATTATGCAATTAGAGATTTACATGCGAACAAGTAGCAATTGCAGCCAAATGAGGCAAATTTCCAATGCGCTGGCGTCGATTTGACAAAGCGACAGCTGCCCCAACACCACAGCACCCCTATCCGCCGCCCCCGTCACCGTCCCCGCCCTGCCACTGCTTCTGCTGCAGCCAACTATCAATTGAGTGGCCACGGGGCAGCATTATGCATCTCGCATCTTGCTGCATGGCAGTTATTATATATTTATTTTTTTTCTCTTACTTTTTTTTCGCCACTGTCCGACTGACTGTCAACTGTGACGTGTCATCGCCGTAAGTCAGCGGTTTTATTATTCCTTTTAGCTGATTGTTTTTATTGCATTACATTTGGCTGTTGCCGCTGTTTTTTCCCATGGCCAACAAAACTGGCGCTGACGCTTGCTCGGCTCGAGCAATTAGTCCGTCTGTGATTTGCAGCTCGTGCAAACGATATTTTGGAGGCATTTCGCAAAACATTGAGCAGCAAGTTAGAACAGTTACAATGTTAAATACCCTTAATTAGAAACTACTTGCGACAGATTGTTCCTATAACAGCTAAATGATATATGTTAATTGCCGAATATTGCGTACGTGTTAGAAACATAGTAAAGTTGGTCAAAATTGAGTGTGGTTAAAATATCTGGAAAAACAAAAAGGATTTCCTTAAAAAAATGCATTAATCGACTGATTCTTAATATTAGGCCATATGACATAGCAACCCGATGTTGACAGGTGTTCGCTAATATCTAAGGAGCATAGCAGGAGCAGCATGAAGTCAGTAAATATTAAGTTTCCTTAAGTTATCGCGGGAAACATATATCAAAATATATATGTTTTATTTGTGGGGTCGGGAATGCTTTCCGCAAATTATGACAATATTAAATGCCCACTATTTTATAAAAAGCAACTTAGTTTACAAACCAAATTATTCCTATGAAAAGTAAAACAAAAAGTACTTTCTTGACGATATCTGACAAATATGTAAAGCTCAACTTAGTGAAGATATCTAAACAGAAGTTGCAGTCTAAAACTTAATTCTTGACTAATCGCTCTTTTGGGCTGCCTATGAGCAATATAGTGATTCGATTCGGTTAACTCTAATATGGATGCTGCCTGTTCAAAGTAACATACAGTTAAGCCTCGGCTAACGGACACTTCTATCAGGCGGACACCCATCTTGGAACAAGACGAATATTATCTATATATTATCTAAGCATTATAAATCCAGTCACACTCTTTTCCCCGTCTGTTAAGCGAGCACATTTAAATTTCATAGATTTCAGCCCCTTCACATTACACAATTTGACAGCATTTTAATTCACTTTGCCCTTGCAGCGACGATTTGGCAAGGGGAATGCAGAAATCCGTTTTATTTGCCGCATCACGTATACGCCACGTGTACGGCACAATTTGGCAATTGAGTTTAAAAATAAAAGTAGCAACAGTTTTTTTTTTGTGTAATTTTCATACATTGGCTTTTAATAACAGTCTAATGGCTGTCATCATTATTATCGTTAACGTGATGATCGCGTTGCTGTGGCCGTAATTTGCTAATCATTTCAACTGCCGCTTGGCCAACTATTTGAACAAGGAAGAAATTGTCAACCATTCAAGTCATGAGAAAATGCCAGTAAAATCTTCAATGCTGGTTATTTATTTGGTGCCACCAAAGGATGGTCTCCAGATTGACCAACAGTCGAGAGACAACAGCGAAAAGTGAATGGCAGATGCGGCTGCCGCTGCTGCTGCTGCTGCTGTTGCTGCCTTGGGCTGGAAATTGGGCAACATTCACGGCAGTGGGCGCAACTGTCCAGCAGTATTATGGAGGAATCTGTCGCTATTGGTATTTCTTTGTGTTTAATCAGCAGATGCACATGCCTGACTGAGCCAGGGCAAAATCTGATGGCCATAATTGGCCGCGCAGTGGATGGATAGATGGACGGATGAATGGATGGGTGGATGTTCGTCACAATGGACATGGCTTAATTAAGCATCGGCAAATGTTAATTAAAATCCGCCAAAATTGGGCAGCCGTTGCTTTTACTCTTGGAAGCCCAGCTGCGTGGATGACTTGCAGAGGTCATGAAGATAAATTTGGTACCCTAACTGGCTGTGGCTTTCTTTGTGGCAGGCGTCTATGGAAATTCCACAATTCGATTGGCCATAAAGCGCAAAGGCTCGTTTAACAACTAGTTACGTGGTCGTCGTCACCCGCCGCCAAAACGCTTCCTGGAAACCGCAAACTGATCACCGTCGCGACAAAGGTGGCATCTGCCACCGCCAGCTGCCTCAGCTGCCTTAGCTGCCGCCTCAGCTGTTAGGCGTCTCACGTACTGGGCAACAGGTAAGCCTGCTGCATGCGCTGCATAAATCTTTTCTCATTTATTTATTTCAAATACAATATATATACTGTAAATGCATCCAGCTGCTTGGGTTGGGTGTCTGCCAAAGCAGCAGATGAGGTTAAGCCTCAGACTGTTGATTATATGTGCATTTTATGCGATTTGTTATGCCGACAAGCTTCACCTTCAGTCGAAATGTTATCCCCGCTGGAGGCAGTTGAACTCTTCAGGATATAATTGGAAACCAATTGACTTAATGCCTAGCATTGACTTTTGCCTAAACAATGACATTTAATGTATTCAATTGCGATCTTTAGCATTAAAATATTCTGGCTTTAACCTTTTTATAAGACACGACTAAATCTGTCCATACAAAGCTGTTTCACTCAACTGACTAGGCCACAAATAACTTTTACTCACTGTGATTTTTGAGAATATCTAAAAAAAAACCTTCGTAGTAGCTTGTCTTAAAGCTAATCGCAAATCGTAACCTTTCTTCGAAATTCATGTTCGCTAATTTCTCGTTTAAATCCGCGCAGCTTTCACTCAATTTTTTGAGTCATCGCCCCAACAATCTATAATATTTGCTTCAATTATCTCAGCTATTCTCAGCTCACGGAATCTGTGCAATGTTTGGCACAAGAGCGGAGAACAACTATAATGTTAACTGGTCCTGGAAATATTTTGCATTTGAATAAAAGGCAAATGCAAATATTCAGATAATCGCAGAGGGGTATTCAGTTGGAAAGTGCGCAACGCAATTTGCATGAGGCGGTGCGCGGTGTGGAGTCGGGGTACATGCTAAATATTAAAAATAGATTTGCACAAGAAATTTCCATAGCTAAATATAAAACGAAACACTGTGCAATGGGTAAAGGACTAAAAGGATTGCGAGTGGGCATTCCCATTTTGCGTTTATCTAATACGATTTTTGGTTGGGTTCTATCCTCAGCTAATGACCAAATCCATTTGCCCACAAATTAGTTTTTGTGGTTGCCATCTGAAAGTGGTTTTTGGGCTATCGGTTTTTAAGCGTAGGTGGACTTACCTTGCGCTTGGAGCGCGCCATGCGCTGGTCGCGCGAGTTCTCCGCCTCGCCCGGCGGCCGCTTGCCCCACACGGCGATGGCAATCCGAGTATAGGTGAATATCAGCACCAGCAGTGGCACGATGAACTGCAGCGTGAACAGCGCCAGTGTATAGTAATAATCCTGTTCGGTCGAGGGCCAGACCTCGCGGCAGATGTATCTGATGTGGCAAGGACAGAGCAGGATTCAGCGCATGTCGTTATTGTTGTCGTTGTTGTTGTTGTTTGTGAGTGGCATGCAAAATAAAAGAGCAAAGCCGGACGCGGCATAAGATTGCGTTGATTTTATGGCATGCAGGCGGTAAGGGAATGGGGGTGCACAAGTGCTGTCAGTTTGCGCCAACCATACAAGCCGTCAAATGCAAACACACACACACACACACACACACACACACACACACACAAGCTCGCGCAGTTTAATTTTTATGTTATGCGCCTGAACTCTTTACTCTATCATGGCAGAGAGCAAATGCGCCAGAATTTCGCCACCATGTCGCAACTATTATTTTTTTTTTGGTATTTTACAACACTTTCATTAATTTGATTCTGCATATTTTACTTTTGACAGACCCCACTTTAAGGCCTCTCAACTATAATGACAGAAAAAGAAAATAGCCACAATTTCGTCATAATTTTTATTAAATTCGTTCTGCATTTTTTTCAAGTTTGATGGAGCCAAGTCTCAGCCTGTCACCTAAAATGACAGAATAACCAAATTGGCCTCATTTTCACGACCATTTCGCCAACATTTCACTACCTTTTGTTCATTTGTTTTTCGGCATTTTATAAGTCTTAACAATGTGGCAAGACCATATTGTGGGAAAAGCAAAAGCGTCACAATTTCGACTAGCATTTCTCCAACATTTCGACAACATTTCGCCACCATTTCACAACTTTTAAATATTTTGTTATTTACTTATTTCAAATTCAAAGCGACACATCTTCGTCAGAATTTCACCACTATTTCGCCACTAATTCCCCATTATTTCGCCATTAATTGAATTAAATTTCATTAAATTCGGTTAATTCTAAACCGCTTGAACTTAAATGGCAGAAAAAACAAGTGCGTCGCCATTTCACCACCATTACGTTACCATTTCACCCTCATTTCGACACTATTTCGTTATAATTTTATTTCATTTCAATAATTTTGCTTAGCTCTCAACCGCGTCAACTTAAGAGGCAGCAAAAGTAAGTGCAGCATTATTTCGCCACCATTTCGCTATCATTTCCCTGGTTTTTTGATTCATTTGTCTGCATTTATTACAACTTTTGACCATGCAAATGAAAGAGGTATTTTATTTTGTAGAGTGCATCGTTTGCATAATAAACGCTGCCATTTGGTCTCCTATTTTATATGCACTTTATTGCATTTTATGCCCATGGTGCTGTGTCAGCATTGCCTGTTTTTGATGGTCCACTAAACGAAAGCTTCTTTTGTTCCACCGACCAGCTGATGCTGCGGTAATTAGGCACGTTCTTTTACAGCACACGAGCGCCCGCAGCTGCCACAAATGTTGCCATAATTGTGCAACAAACTAACCCGGCGGTAATTGAATGCGAAATGAGGCGCAATTTTCGCTTAAAGTCAATCTAAATCATATTTGGTCAGCTCAAAGGGTCTCGCGTAATTTGTTTTATTTGCAATTCACTCGACTGCGTGCCACAAGCTGCAAAGAGTCTTCAATTGTTGACTCGATAGTTGTTCTTGGCTTATTTTGAATGTTCACAGAGAATGTGGCAAGTCGCCCAGCACAGGACAACAACTGCAAAGTGCTTGTCGACTGGCTATCGATTTCAGCATGTGGAAGCTTCAGTTGCATGCCACCACCAGCCCGGCCGACGAGTGGGGCAGAGGCACGCGCTGCGTATGACTTGAATGTGCCCACATATATTTGCTCAAGTGCCACTCGTCAGACAAAGCCATGGTCATATCTTTAATGCTACACTTGAAGCACGCGCACACACACACATACACACGCACACACACTATTTGGTTGTTAATGGTTTCTACTCACTTCTCGCATTTCTCGTGCCATATGGAGCTGGGCACCATCAGGCGGGAGACGACGGGTATGGGAAATGCAGTTGCCAGCGCAATAAACCAAACGCCAGCGATAATAAATTTGGCGTAGCTGCAAATAAATAAATAAAAGGAAAAGAGTTGTATTAAAATATTTAAAAGGACACCCAAAATTACGCTGACGCACGCATGTGACGCGCGCGACGCCTGAAGCGTGGCGCATGGCGCGTAGCGTGTCTCTCGCTTTGCGCATACGCCCTGAGTGCCAGAATGCGATCTCGTGTGCCCGAATTACAGCCAGCCTGGATAATTATAAACCGTATTTATTTGGGTGCCACACAAATATTTGCACATGCCACGAAAGCCTCGCTCCTTAGCACGCACTCATTGACAGGGCGTGACATAAATGCTGCCAATTCTGCACCCCTGCACGGCCCCTACACACTTAGCCGCCATTAGCCATAGCCAAAGTCAGCTAGCTGACAAGTGGCAGCAGTGAAGGGGAGGCTATCCTGTGTATTCAGTTACAAAGCAAATTGACGTTCAATGGCAGCCAGCGGCGCGGGCTTGCAGTCTTTGCAGCAGAAGCAGCAGCAGCAGCAGCAGCAGCTGCCGCACTGCGTCCGCCTCGTGTCTAAGGTTACTATTTAAACCAATTAACACGACCAAGTTGGCCGCCCCCTTTCCCACTTCACCTCCTTGCGTCTAGCGTACGTGCTGGCATTGCGTGTTTTTCAAGTCTCTGGAGGCGAGGCCTTCTTTTGGTCAAGTGCGGCTGGCAGCCAAATGCCTAAAGCGCCAAGCAATGCAAATACGCCGGCTGCCACTTAACGGCGCCAATGTCCCAAATACCTACAACAACATCAGCAACAAGAGCCCAAGCAAACGGCGGCCTTTCAATTAGTTTTTATGCGCCTTCAATTAACTCAAATGCTACTAAAAGCCAGCTTTGCATACTTGACTAAGACTCAACACAAAAGAAAAGAGTCAAGTTTGTAATACTTAATAGGCAATCATGCTTGACTGGAAGGATTTCTCGCAGTGTTATCTAAATTATTATCTAGAACTCTTCTTAGCTCTAGTTTCCGTTTCCTTACTTTTTTATTTAAGCTGTGACAGAATCTTAACTTGGAGATACAAAAAGAATTTTTTTTAAATTTAAATTATCTTCTGAAGTAATTGAATTATTGTCTATCATTTTATAAAGAACTTCACCCATTCAATGATAGTTTTTAATAAATAAAATACACCTGTATATTCGAGAAATATCCAAAATATTGAATAGATTTTAAATAATTTTCTATTCAATTTTACTTTTCCATTCTACAGAAAACATTGCATGTCCTCAACTATTTTATCCACAAGATGTTCACTTGATTTAATCTCCATCAACGATTGGCATCTATCTAATACGTTTGTGCAATGATTGAAGTCCGTATTATTTATGCCTTTATGCTGGCTCTCCTGCAAACGTTTTTTACTTTGAACCAACACAGTTTCGCTTCTGTTAGGGCAGAGGCTCGGCTGCCTTGAGAGCAATTGAATTGGATTAAAGTTGGGTTCATAGTAGGAAATTAATTAGAATTCTGGGTTAGTTTGAATACGGCCTGAAACTTTTTTCTTATAGATGAATTGACCGTATGTACCTTTAGGCATGAGATATAACTGGCTGATACATACATTCCCAGGCTACAAGCAGGGTTCGGTATATATATATCGAGAATTTAATATTATTATTTGTTTAATTATAAGGTATAGTTAAAAACTTCAACTTCAATGGTACTTTTGTAGCCTGGGATTCGAGTGCGGATAAGCCTTTGCAGTTGCCTGAACTTTTGCAGTGAGATTTGAGACATAGAGTAGCTAACTAAAAAGCAAACGAACAAAAAAATTTTTAAATCTTAACAGCCAAGCAGCTTTGTACTCTCCCGCATTATCCACAGTCATCACATATCAAAATTTAAATAGATAGATATTATACATAGGTAAATGAATATACATTAATATACGCACCGCTTTGTGATGCGTGGACGCAGGGGCCACATGATGGCTATGTAACGATCAATACTGATGGCCACCAGGGTGTAGGCGCTGACCAGGACGGAGACCACCTGCGAGTAGTTGACGAAGTGGCACAGGACAATGCCGAATGGCCAGTAGTTAAGAATGTATTGCGAGATAAACGAGGAGGGCACACAGAACAGCGACATCAGTATGTCACCCAGCGCCAGATTGGCTATGAAATAATTGGTAACCGTGCGCATGCGCGGCGTGGACTGCACAATGTAGCAGACGATGCCGTTGCCCAGCAGGGCAAATATAAAGATGGGTATGTAGAGCAGGTAGACGACGCTCTTGAAGTAGTCGCTGGACCACAGATCATCCGAATGGGAGCTGACATCAGTGCAGCTGAAGTTTAGCAATACGGTCACATTGAAGTGCTCCGTTGCGGGCGTGGACGATGTGTAGTCGGCGTCCTCAGCGCCCAAGGACAGCTCCGTCGAGCTGCTATTGTACATCAGCGCCCCAGCTGTATCCTGATAATCATCCTCGTTGCGCAGCAGCGGCTGCTGTGGCGCAATATAATACAAACGCTCGTCATTTAAAACGGTCCGTTGAAGGTCCAAACGACGCCGGTGCCAGACAAAACTGTTAAACTCCATTTCCAAGATTGTTTTTGTTGTTCTTTTTGGTAAGCGAAGACCTTGGACTTTTCTCTATAAGCCAGCAACTTTTGCTCTTGTAACTTAATCTAAATACTTTTTGGCATAAGCAAATCCTAATTGCAGCCTCATTATAATCAAGCAGCTGCAATTACGCTCGGTTTGCGGTTTGAATTTAATTTCCACAGCCAGCCGAAGGAGCCTGCAAGTAAAAGGATATGAAATATGTAACGGCATGTTGCAATTATTATACAAATTTCAAGGCGTTTTTAAGTGTAGATAGCTCCATTTACCATGTAAATAAATTAAATATTGGATGTAATAAGATATATATATAATAAAATTCATTTACCAAATAATATAACCTCTTTCGAAAATCACATAAGAGAGTTAACATTTTTTCATCCTATATCTTGACTGCATACTTTTAGGCTTGAGCTACAAGTCAGTCATGTCAGCTAGGAAATAATTAGCTGATGCATAAAACGATTGCAAGCTTTTGTGCTGCTACCAAAACTGACAACTTATACATTTTACTGCAAGCTCTTATACTTGCCAATTTAAGAGCGGCAAGTGAATATATTTCAACAAAAATATAGCTCAAACTTTATCATGTCTTTGCGGATTTCTAAAAAACAAAAATCACAAGGTCCAAGTTTGTCCAAACACATTCAAACATAATGTGCTCAAAGTTGACAGCCTTTGTACGTAGAAAATGTTTGACAACGGACTTGCCAGCATACGCAATGTACGAAAAGTTCGGAATATGCCCAATTATTTCTTTATAAAATTATCTTTTCATAATATTCAAGCAGATTTCCGATTGTGACACAAATGGGTCACATCTCTCTATTGCTAAAAAAATTTGTCATTGGTAAACAAAAAATTAAATTTTATCCAAATTTCTCAGGTAAAAAGTTCCATATCTCCAAACTAGTTTTAACAAGCTGGTTTAAGTGCATAGCGGCCATTTTGTATTACACTATGAATTGATTTATGGTCCTGAAGCTAAAGACATACCTCAGTGCAGAAAAAACTGTTGCATACTTTCGCGCGTTGCCAGTATAAGACTTCACTCTGTAAAAGCGAGTAAATGGCTGTGGGCAAAACAATTTTGGCCATATGAAAAACGTGTATGGCATGGCCAAAACGCATGTGAATAAATCACACAGGCAAACAAAATTGCGAAGAAACCAGAGAGCATAACAACTGCCAAAAATACAAACAAACCGCTTCCGGGTGCAGAAGCGGTTGCTATGATAAATGGGTCGCAATCGACTGCCATTTTATGCTGAGCCATGGCTGAAGAAAAAGGAGAAACCTTTGAGCGATGAGAAAGTAAAAGCGTTGGGAAATGCGAATAGATTGCCAATATGCGTATGTTTTTTTTGTATGCGCACATTGTAAACCAGAAATTTCAAAGTCAATAAGCTAATTGAGATTATTCCAAGTTACGCCTTCTCAACTCAGCCAAAATGTTGTGTGCTGCACAAATTCTACTCAAAACTGCATACATTTTTCGAATAACTAACGAAAGTATGTTAGCAAAAGTAATGCTAAGACGAAAATGGGAAAAGCATATACTTGTTTTTTTATTTTATTATTTTTGTTATGCACCCAAGCTTTAAGCAAAATCTTGTCAACATCTTCTTAAATAATCTTGGCCAAAGTCGGCATTTACGAACTACACTATTCTTCTCACACACGGCTGCTAAAATGTAAGTTATATTTCAACAAGGGTATTTATTCGTCGACGTGGCTAAAATGGCGATTCTCTCTTTCGTTGCTTGGCAGCTTCAATTGGAAAAGCTGTGGCATATTTTAACTTTAATGTGCCGCAGGCACTCGGAAGCTGTTTGGCAGGCAACAAAAATTCAGACGATTGAAATGCATAGCTGCAAGGCCTGTTTTATATATATTTTGTACATATCTATATATGATATAGCTATATGAACATTTCTATTTATAACAAGGCATTAGGCAAATTAAAATTGCGAACCAGATTTGCGTGCGCGAACAATTAAAGCCTGGCAACAAAAGACAATTGTTAAAGATAATATGAGAGCTGTAATTTGATTGCCAAAACTTAGTATTGTGTGTGTGAGTGAGTGTGTGTGTGAGTGATTGTGTGTATATGACTGTTAAAAGAAGTCATTTCAACTTTTACTGGCGCGTCGTTTTAATGTGCCGCTAAATAAACTCCGACACTGACGAACTGACGGACTGACGGACTGCCTGACAAAGCACCCTCGTGTGTGTGGACGCTTGCTGCAAAAGCCGGATAAGAATATCAGGCAAGTAAATTGCTTATCTCAGCGCAATAATGAGGTACTTGCTGAGGTTCAGCCCGTACGCTCAGTGTATGCGTGTGTGTGTGGTGGCGGGCTGTGGGTGTGTCTGAGTGTGTGCGTGACTTGAGTTTTTGTCACAGCTAGCAGGTCTACTCCTTATGCGCCTTATGCTCCTTATGCTGCTGCTGCCATACTTTATCAATTATCTGCCCAAATTCCAAAATCCCTGCGAAGCTTCATAAAATTTCAACAGACGATTGCGTGCCCAAGGATTTGTTATTGGCATTTTTGTCGGGCATGCGAGACACAAAAAAATAAAATAAAAGCATTCTCCTAATTCCTATTTGCAAGTGATTTATTTTTTAATATACGCGTATATATCAACATTTCGCACATAACATCTATTAATTTTTAAATTAAAAATCGACCCAAGGTGAACGACATACGCGCCAGCAAATGAGAAAATGGAGCAGACCGAATGGCATGACAAACGAAAAAAAAATATATTAAAATAAGTACGAGTGCTAAGTCGGGTATGCTCGACCAGAAGATACTCTGAACACAAAAATTTGAACATCCCTGTGCTCTTTATGCAGCGCCTTCTTCTCTTCTAAGGCTAAGATTAAGTGGGGAAATTAATTATTTTTTAACTTCGACGTTGATTGTCCAATGTTTATGAACTTTTCGATACCAAAAAATAACAGCCAAGTGATTAAGTATACCAAAAAAACAAGGCTCTTCCTCTAAAAAATTAATATTCTCCAGTTTTGGCTTGTTTTGATTCCAAGATCGAATCAAAAATAGCTAAATCACCTTAGCTTCTCGATTTGATATATAGTTTACGAGATACCTTTTTCCGCCTGTTACCTACACTAGCACCTCGCCATTATACCCTTCTTATTCATCTTCAATGGGTTCGGGGTATAAAAAATTCATGAGATTTTCAGATGTGTTTGCCAGAGTTCAATTGCAGAAAAATTCACTTTGATTTGGCTTCAAAAAAGGAAAAACATCACGTTTCCATCACTCTCCAAGAGCTTCGCTCGCAGTTTCCCAGCCTAAAGGCTCATATACATCTCAATATACATGGGCCCCGGACTGAGTGTATTAATGGAATGTCATCAATTTTATATTAGGCCAACATGTTAATGTGGATGTGAGCGGCATGCCCAAGTTAATAATTAACACGTGCAAGCGAATCCCCAAATAATTCCAATGCATTGAATCCTCCAGATTGGAGGGCACGAAATCCGAATGCAAAATGTGGGATAAGGCATATCTTTTCGAAATAGAAATATTTTGCCGCAGATATAAAACACGCAGAAAAAAAATAAAATTAAATAAAATACTGCTAGGAAAATGGCAAAAAAATCACGTACAAAAATGTAATCACAACACGTGATGCAGACGAGGGCTGAGCATAGAAAGCGGTAGCTAACATATTTGGCCCATAGCAAATAATATATTTACGCAGAGTATAAGACGAGGCCGAGAAAAAATGGCGCCGAAAAAGGCGGCAAATCAGATTTGATCGGCTTAGTTGCATGTAAATTCATTTAGCGCCTTTTTACGCTGAACGCGGAAATGGAAAAGGAAGGCGAGACGACAGGCGCGAGGCGTCCCCAAATCAGGTGCTACGCACATAAATTCAATTTACAAAAGGCGCTGTGCCAAAAAAAATATGACTAAAGGGAGAAAAAAAATGTATTAAGCCCACAGTAAATCTTCAAAGAGAGCTAACCATAGCTCATATTTCCATTTGCCATCATTGTATTTCAGGCTTATGCTTTTGGCTTAGCTTCCGTTTTATGTCCGGCAAATTTCGAGCCAAGACTTCTGCGTAGAGCATCAGCAAAAGCAACATTGGTAAAAAGAAACCCACAAAAAGCCCAAGTGCAGCAGCTTCAGCTTAACCAGACCGGAGCACAGTCAAACAATTTCGGGAGCAGAAAGCCAAACGAAAATTTGCTCTTGGCAAATTGCTTTTGAAACCGCCACAAAGTGAAAATAGTAAAGGTCCCTGCTCGGGCGCCACACCGTGCAGTGGCAAATATTTTGCCAGCATTAGGTAATGTTTGTCTCTACTCGTTGATGGTAGAGATGAGTGTGCTTTAGATTTGTTCAACGCGATGCAAAGGCGAAGCAAACATTACAAATGTAAACGGGTAACAGGTATAAGTGCTCTTGTCGGGAGTATCCGACTACCCAAGCCACGTACGCCTACAAACATTCTGTCTTTCTTATCTTCATATCTTCTCAAATGTAAATAGCAATTTTAGTTTTTTAATTATGTTTGAAAATCCATTCCTCAAAATAGATTTTTATCGATATTATGCAAATAAGAGGAGTTATTGAAAAAATATATTATAAAATCATGCTCTGTGTGGTACACGAGCATATATAAAGTGTTTGAAGTTGACGGACAGACGGACAAGGCTAGATTGATAAGTAGATCGATTATAAGGTCGAGGATACTCTCTGCTGCCTGTAACATACACTTGCACAAACTTATTATACCCTCCTTATCCACATTCAAATTTAAGCATCACGGCAAACGTTGAATTATCATTTTTAAAGATCCTTGTGAAAACTAATCTAAGACGAATTTCACGTTGTAAGAGAGTAAGATTGCATTTTCAAGATTATGGTTCAAAGTTCAGTTTTCGCTCAGATTATTATTTAGTAAAAAGCATTAGAAAGAATGGGTTATATCATATATATTGATATATGCACATATAAGCTGGCACAACTTGATATGAAACACCAGGTTAGATCCTCGACGTCGATATGAAATTTCTTTTCCTTCTGACAGGCATAATCAGTTTATTTTTTCCAGCGCCACATTATCACAGTTTGTTATTTATGGAACAATGGAACCAACATTGATAACAATATCTGGATACATAAGAGC